ACCGCGGGACTGGAGTGTGCGGACTTTGGTGTGCGGGTTTGTCTGGGGCAGACTCCCCGTGGACTTGCGGGCCGGCTGCGCTGTCCTCTGTGAAATCCTCTCCAGAAAGGGGAGAGCAGGGAGTCTCCCCGCACGCAGGGAGAGGGAAGTGCGGGCGACGGGGAGGGACGTGGCTGCGTCAAATCCCACCCGGACCAGCTCTGGCTCGGGCCGTTGCGAGCCCCTCCAGCTTCCAAGCTGGGTCCCAGAAGCCATGCAGGCACTCAGGGCAGGGGCCAGCTGTCCGCCTAAATGGGGTGCCAGGAGGCTGCCACGTGTCCACCCGCTCCTTCCCCGGGAGGAACTGTCCTACCCGCCCGTCCTCGCGGCCTGCGGTGCGGTCCCGGAGAGGGACACACCTGCCCACATCCCTTACGGCAGGTCTGGCCACCTCCCTGTTCTGGCCAAGGGCACATGAATACAAGTGACAATTTGCCCCTTCTAAGCAGCAGCTTTCCCTGCCCTCGGTTTCCCTCTTGCGCTTTCCCTTCGCCACGGCCCGGAAAGGCGTGTTGGGGAGGAGCCGCCCCCTCCTCCCGGGTGCAGGGTGAGGAGACGGCGGGGCAGGGACCCAGCACGACCCACAGCCGCCAGCGCAAAACACGAGCGAGACACGGCACGGACCGCCGTAGACAGGGACTGTCTAGCGGAGCAGGCTGACTGTCGCGCGTGCAGGGAGAGCGAGCCGGAAGCCCGGTCGGGATGGGCGACGGGAATTCCCCGGGAGCAGCCCCGGGACAGCCTTACCGAGTCTCGCGCGATGCTGAGGAAGGTGCGTCGGAAGAGGATGCAGAACTGCGTCAGGCAGCTGGCAGAGAAGCTGTGACAGCCTTCCACGGAGGCGGAGTCCTGGGGACACAGGCGAGAGGGCAGAGGTGAGGCTGCCGCCAGGGACCTGGGCCCTCCGTGCTGAGAGGAGCTGCGTGCGGCAGGTGCAGGGCGGCGTGCGGCCCCGGCGGCCCCGGGGGTGGCATTACCTTTCTCAACCCCTTCACGCGCTTTGTCTGCTTTACCTCTTCAGAGGGCCGGTGCCAAAGAAAAGGGGTCACCTCGTCATCGCCCCCGAGCTCCTTCTTGTAGGCGGAGTCACACAGGCCCTCCCGGACTGCTCTCACCAGGCGGCCATTCTGGTCCCCGTACTCGCCGGACGCCACCTCCATGACTACGAGACACGGGGGGGGGGGTCAGTCCCGGGCTCGGGGAAAGGGCGCCGGCGGCACCAAGCAAAGCCGTTGTTCACGCGGGAATGTTAGCAAATGACCGCACAGATGACGCTGGCATGATGCCAAGATCATTTGTCAGCCGGCAGCTGGCTCTCCAGCCCCCAACGAGGCCGTTTGTCACGCCAGGGGTCTGGAAACGCACACGCGTGTCGAGATGCCGGAGAGTCTGAGAAGTAACTGGCTCGTGCACCTGCTGACTGATCCCCCTGCCAGGTTCTCCTCGGATGCCCTCGACGGGCAGCGCCCGCGGCGGCAGTGGCGGCGGGGAGGGGGCCCGCGTGAGGCAGCACTCCCTGCTAAGAGCTCGCGGTCTGGCGTGATGCTACAGGCACCGCGGCAGTTCTGCAGGGCTGCAGAGGAGGGCGAGCCGCGGCCACTCATGTGCCAGCACCCTGGGGACTTGGAGAGGGGGAGGACCCTCCCCTGCCCTCTCAGATCCTGGGGAGCACCTCCCGCTCCGGCCCTCACCACCTGCTCCCCCCCCCCCCCCGGGACTGCAGCGGTCCCTGCTCCTCTCCACCCCGCCCCCACCCACCCGAGGTCTCCCTCTAAGGCCAGCTGGCTGGTTCCACCTGTGACAACGGGCCTCCTTCCTGTCCGCCACCCTCTGAGTTTCCCTGACCTTCCGCCCTCCTGCCTGCACGGCAGGATGTGCAGCGTCCACCCTCGCTCCGGCGACTCGCTTGCTCCTGCCCAAAGCGCGGGCCTCCGCGTCTCTCCCACACTCTCCTCTGGCAACACCAGCTCCCTGCGTCCCCCGGGCTGGCGCTGGGGCCACCAAGCACCCCCAGATCAAGCCACAAACCAGGACACGTTGGCCCCTCCCTGAGAAACTCAGCTCCAAACCAGCCCCGCCTCGCCAGGCAGACCCGTGCTCCCCTGCGCACACACGCCCGCCAGGGGCCGCACTGAACAGAAGGCCCGGAAGGAAGGGAGCACCCTCCTCTCTCTAGGACTCTCCACGTCCCCTGGCGCCTCATTGCTTCTCCTTCCTGTCCGCCCTGCCCCCCCAGGTTCCCCCCTCCCCTGCCCTGCTGGCGGTGACCGCCGTCTGGGGAATGAGCACGCAACTACACGCGGCCCTCCCGCTCCGTCCTCCCTGCCAGCGGTCCCCCCCCTTCACCGCCGTCCCCCCCCAACCCTGCGTCTCCTGGGTGGGAGGCACGTCCCACGAACAGCGTCTCGTGGGACACAATTGGGAAGTGACATTGCAGAGTTTGTGTCATCGGACGTTTAAAAGGGAAAGGGCAAAGCAGGAAAGCTGAGGGCCGGGCGCCAAGGGGAGGGTCGCCGCCGGGAATCCCAGCACGGGACCCTGCGAGGACGGGGGTCTTCGCGGGGTCAATTTGAGACGCTCTCCGGATGAACTGCCCTGCATTTAGGGTGGACCCGAAACTAATGACCAGCAGCGTCCTCATAAGACAAGGTGATGGGGACGCGGAGAGTCAGGACGCCAGGTGGCAAGGGCAGCAGAGACCGGCCGCCGGATATTTTTATCCAGAGGAAAGGAAGCCTCTTTCTGTTCCTTGCACGTTCCGCCACAGGACGGCACTCGAGCCGTCTGTGGAGCTTCCAAGTGGTTCCTGCCGTGGGGCGTCAGAGACAGCGAACCCCACAGAGCAGGAAGAGCCCTGCGGCAGGCCAGGGCCCCGCTTACCGAAATCCGCCGGGTTGTGGTAGGTCGGGCAGTTCAGACCCAGATCCCGCAGATACGGCACGAGATTTGAGACTTTCCCCCGGTACACACATTGTCCTTGACTTAGGACGTAAAGCTGGGAAAAGGAAAGAGAGAGGAAGCTCAGCCCCTGCCTTCCCGGTGGAGCGGCGAGGCCCCGTGCAGGTCCACGGGAAAGCCACAGCCAGTAGGGCAGACAGGGCGTCCTGTGGCCAGGATCGCTTTATTATATTGCTTTTTTTTTTTTTTTAAACATACTAACTACTGTTCAGAAAAAATTCTGGAGCTACACACATTGCATCCCTTTGGGACTATTTTTGCTCACACTAATACCAGAATCTAACATTTGTGAAACAGATGGTATTGCACAAGTGTTGTCATCTGTCATTTAACTCTGTAAAAGCATGTGTTCCCCTCCTTTTAACAGGGGAGGTGACGGAGCCCCCGTGTTAGTGACCGGGAGGGGCCACAGGGGACAGAGGGGGGCTGTTGCTCAGCAGCCCCCCCCCACTCCCCCAGCCTGCGGGGCTGCCAACGGTCCCCAGAGTCTCATAGCACGTCACTCGGAAGGCCTCTCAGAAATGGATGTGCCCCAGGGACTGACGGAAGGCGGCAAGTACCCAGGGTTTGGGTCCACTCGGGCCGACTGCCGGGGTGGTGGCCCAGGGCAGGAGGGGCTCAGGGGCTGCCTACCTGGTCGAACAGCTCGAAGAGCTTGGCGCTGGGCTGGTGGATGGTGCAGATGATGGACCTGCCCCCCTGAGCCAGCCCTTTCATCAGGGAGACCACCTGGAAGCAGGAGGAGCTGTCCAGGCCACTGCAAGTCAAGGGACACCATGAGACGCTTGCAGGTGGCAGGCAGGGACTAGCCGCTGCCCCAGGTCCTGGGGTCATGCCCCTGGGGTGGTGCTTGACATCAGAGACCTGTGGCTGCAGCTGCCCCATCCCCGAGGCTGGGCTCTCTCCACCTGTTTGTTTTAACATTCAATAGCTCTGCACTCAGTAGGGCTGCATATCCCATTCCACTCCTGACAAGAATGGAGGATTCCCAGCAAGTCCCGCCGAGGGGACCCGGAAGTGCATCTGTGTCCATCAGAGATATTGCCACAGACAGGTGGGGACGGCAGAGCTGTGCAGGCAGGTGGCTGTGCCTCCCAGGTGGGCCCTGTGGCCCCTCACCCCGTCTGGGGGCTGGTGACGGGGGTGTCACCCCTACAAGGAGGCCTCGTGCAGCCTGGGCCGGCTGTACACTGGGAGATGTTTCACTGCACACATCAGTTACTTCCACAGGGTGCAGGGTCCCCAAGCTCCCCGAGGGCTCTTGTGGGGGCCGGCAAGGTCCCTCTCCTTTCCTCACACCCCAGTCTGAGCCCCTGATCTGAAGTGACAGGACAAGGGATGAGTGTGTGCTGAGCAGTCCCCAGAGCTTGCCTCTCCCGGGGCAGCCAGCCTGCAAGGGGCTACTCTAAGGGCTCATCGTGGTCACTTTTTCTATCTATCTTTCTAGAAGCTGCATAAGCACTGCCCACCGGGGGCAGGTACTGTGGGGGTGAACTCAACACAATAGAGGAGCCCCTCCCCGAGGAAGGCCGCAGCTGCTGTCAAATTTAGCTGGAATTTGGAGAAGGGATGTCATTTCAAGAGCAGCCCATACTTGGCCCGTCATCCTGTCTAAGACAACTGAATGGGCCCCTGTTCAGGGGCCGGGTGAGCTTGACTGGAGGCTTGTGGGCCCTAGAGCCAGGACTTCAGAGCAGCGTTTTCCCACGGGGACCCCCAGATATAAAGCAGCACCCCCAGGAGGGGTCAGGGCCCCGGGAGCAACACCAGGCAGGTCCTTCCTGCTGGCTTCTCTGAGCCTTTGATGTGCTAAGACCAGGTCAGTGGCCCCTTCCCAGGGCGTCCCAGCAGCCCTTAGTGTCACGGAAGAGACGTGCACCTGACGTGCACGAAGGTCATTTCTCCCAAACCGCCTCCCCACGGAGACCGCACACCGCGCAGGCCTGAGCCCGAGGGTGTCTCTGGGTGGGTAGCGGGAGGTGGACGTCAGCCCCTCCGCCCAGCAATCCCAGTCGGAGGGAGGACAGGCAGCGTGTCGGGGAGCCTGACCTGGGAAACCACCCAGCAGGGGTGGGGCTCCTCCCTGTCCCCGGCCACCAGCCCAGGCACTCCCCGCTCAGACTCACCTGGTGGGCTCGTCAAAGAACATGACCGGGGGGTTGTTCACCAGCTCCAGCGCGATGGCCAGCCGCTTCCGCTGGCCACCCGACAGGCTCCCGGTCCGCGTGTTGGCGCAGGACAGCAAACCCAGCGCCGTCAGGATCTCCTTGACCTGGGGGGCGGCGGAACGAGAGCCCCCGTCAGGAGCCGCCCGCGAGACCTCAGCACCTCCCAGGCCTGGGCAGGACGACCGGCCACTGCCCGGCCCTGCTGGACGCACGGCGCCTGGCCCACACGGGGCTGTGCGAGCCGGGCTCTGCCCCAGGCTGCCCGGTGCCAAGCGGGGCAGGGGCCGTGTGCACGTCGGCGGTTCCGAAGTGGGCCAGGACCTCCCTGCAGCGCTGCCCAGGCTGAGACCAGCACTGGGGCCAGCTGGGGGCTGAGTACTTGTCCAGCCTCTGCAGGTGACCCGGGCACACCCTCACTTCCAAGCCTAGCCCAGAGCCGGTGCGAGAAGACGCCCAATAAATACTCAATGAGCTGACGGATGAATGGACGCTCAAGTGGACGGTTGGTCAGGTTTCTGGCCGGCACAGAGGGGTGGGCCACCGTGACTGGTAATCGAAATAACGGGTGCAAAGTGCCTAGCGCAGCTCAAGGCCCATCGTAAGCCCTGAACTGACACTGCTGTCACCGCCGAGTCCTCGCGTGCAAACACAGCTCCTGCAGGGACACGGCCTGGTGGGAAGCAGGCGTGGAGTCACTTCTGTGCTTGCAAAGAGGTTGGACTTGGAAATGAGGTCTCTGAAGGGCCACGAAGGCAACAAAACAGACGTGCGGTGTTTGCCTAAAAGCGGTTATGACCCGCACGGGGCCGTGGCGCGGGTCTCAGCGAGCCAGGCTGTGCAGCGGAGCCCAGTGGTGCCCTGCACGGAGCCTCCCGCCTGCCTGGGGTTATCGATCCGGTATCGGCTCGAGGAGCAGACAGGGCGGAGATGTTCCTACTGGCGTGGTCGGTCCCAGCCCCAGCGTCCTCTCAGACGCAGGCCCAGGGGAAGGCAGACGCCGGGCCAGCTGCCACCACCCCGGCCTCCCTCCAGAATTCGCCCAGACTTCGTCCCCGCCCCGGCGGGGCAGCTGTGGTGGCCGGAGAGAGCAGAGCCCAGTCCGGCTCCTCTGGGAAGCTGAGGTCATGCTCGAAGCAGAGATGCTCACCGGAGGAGAACTTCTACTCTGAGCTTTTGAATTATTTTCGCACGGTCAGGACGGAGTGCAGCTTTGGTGGCAGGGGGACCAGGGCAGAGCCGTGCGGCCGACCTGGGCGCCACCCTGCTCTGCTCTCCCTGGATGCCCAAAGCCAAGTCCACGCTAGACCCAGGGCCCCGGCCTCCAAGGGCTGCCGTCCCAGAAACAGCTGCCGTGGGCGCCATGGCGAGGCCGGCAGGCGGGCGCCGGGCACGGCTCTCTCCCGGCACACTCCCTCCTCTCAGATGATGTCTTCGGGTCTCCCAGGATGAGGGTTTCGGGGTCTTCCGGTGCTGCAGGATGACAGGGTGGCCCTGGGTGCTCCAGGCTCACTTTTGGGGTGCTCCACGAGCACGGCGCACCCCTCCTCCCAGAACGGAAACAGAGGCCACGTGTTGCCATCTCCCCTCTGCTGCCCGCCCCGTGAGCGGCCCAGCCCGTTTCTCGAGCGTTCTCTCAGCAGTGACGCTAGGCAGGCTGACTCTGCTTTGAAAGCCAGCCAGGAAAACAAACAATGGGCTCATTTATTTATACACTTTCCCTAAAGAGAGAAAACCCCACGGCAGCTCAGTAGCTCGAGTCCTCCAGGGACGGGTCTCGCAGCCTGGCCACCCACAGAGACCTCGCTCTTGGGCAGGCGGCCTCGCTGGAGGGCTCTCGAGGGCCGAGCTGCCTTTCCGGGAAGTGAGGAAGGCCGCGAACAGCATATTCCACTATCTTCTAGAACATTCTATCCTGCTGTGTTTGCATGAGATAGAAAACTATCCAACCTCGGTGCACACGGGATTGGGGGAATACGGCAGAGTGTGACATCCAAAGCTGTCTTGTCCTTCAGGCAGTTCCGCTGGGTCCCTGGGGGAGGCGGGCGCCTGCAGGACCGAGGAGCAGGAGGGGGTCCATGCCAGGCTTCTGGTGTACAGGTCCCTCGGTGACAGCTCTTGGCGCCATTCCATCCAGCGGCAGGTACGTCGGAGCAGGGGCAAGGGTCCTGCTCCTCAGGAGGATTTCCCCGAAGGACCCCGACCAGGTGGGAGTCTTTGCCCGTGAGCCCAGCTGAAGAAAGCATGAGGCCCCTTCCCGTCTGTGTCTCCAGCCGGGCCCTGCGCCAGGAGGACACGCACTCCAGGGTCCTGGCCACCTGCAGGCCCCGCAAGGCTTCTCCCGGGGAACACCTCTGCTCCCCACCTCGTTCCTGGTCTTCCGCCCAAGCAGGCAGAGCGGGTCCCGTGGTGCCCCACTAAGACCCCAGCCAGGTTACTCAGAGGATGGCGGGAAGCTGGACCCCGAAGGTGCACAGCTTGGCATTACCGTCGAAGCCAGGGCTGGTGGCCAAAGAACCTGGACGCCGTGGTCCTCAGCGGGGACAGTCTGCTGTCCTCCCTGCACCTTCCCCAGCTCCATGGGGAAAGGCCGGTGCACGCGGCTCGAGCTGCAGGGAAATGGCTGCACAGCTCCCTCCTTGCGGGTAGCACTGGCTCTGCTGGCGCCAGGACATTAGAGAAGCATCCAGCGAAGCTCAGTGCCACCCCAGCAGTAGGTGGGCCCGGCCTCAGGTGCGCACGCTGCAGGTGGTGGCCCGTGTCATCCCTGTGTCCCAGGAGGCCAGGGACGGGCTCCCCGTGCTCTGTCCCGCCTCACGACAGGACCTCTCCGAGTCAGCAAGGCCCCGACCCCTGTACCCACCCCACACTGTGACTTCTAAACCGACTCCCTGCACTTCGGCCCTGTCCTCAGGCTGTGGGTTTGGGGCCGAGAGATGGAATTCCCGCCCCCGGCGCCCCGCCCTCGCGGAGCCCTCGGCCCTCCACGCCCTTCCACCCTCCCCTTGCAGTCGTACTTGGCTCACAGGCAACCGTCAGAGGGCGTCTTAGGGACCCAGAGGGTTTGAGCCAACTGCACCTCCGACACCCCTGCCAGCGGGGAGGCTCAGGACAGTGTGCGTGGGCTCACAGGTAGCCCGGGGCAGCCGGCCTCACGGGGGCCGGGGAGGAGGAGCAGCGCCCTGATTCTGTGCAAGGAAAAAGCTCTGCTCTGTGCAGAGCCGCCAAGCTCCCGCCAGCCTCTCGGTCCTGCAGCTTTGCTCCTCGGCGGGTGGGGAGGGGACACGGCTGACCCCAGACACGGGGGGACCTCGCTGCGGTACGGGACGTCACGCTGTCGACTTAGGTGGGTCCCCGGGCGCCCTCGGAGGCTGCCCCGAGCCCCTGTTCTGACACTCTCGGGTCTGTTCTCTCTGCTCCTCCGGCGTCCAATCCGTCCTGTCTGTCGGCTCGGGCTGACGCAGCAGAGCCCGGCCCGGCACTCACCCGGCAGACCTCAGCGCCCGGCGCTCCGGAGCCCAGAAGGCGGAGGTCGGGGTGCGGCAGGCTGGCTCCTCCCGAGGCCTCTCCCCTCGGCGTGCAGATGGCCAGCGTCCCCTGCCTGGGTCCCCACGGGTCGTCCCAGAGGGGCGCGTGTCTGTGTCCTCAGCTCTCCTTACAGCGACACCAGTCCCACGGGACGGGGCCGCCCTGATGACCCCATTTTACCTTAATCCCTTCACTAAAGACCCCGCCGCCAAGTGCAGGCAGTGCCGGGGTCTGGGGCTGGGGCTTCGGCGTGTCCTTCCTGGAGGACCCCGCTGCAACCCCAACTTGCTGCGCTCAGTGTGGCCGACCCTCAGGCGTGGGAGGGCTGCGCTGGGTCCGCGTGCGTCTGAGTGGGCTGCTCAGAAGGGTCGTGACTGCAGCGGCCTCCCTCCTTCTGGTCTGCGCAGTAAAGCCACAAACCCAGGCCTTTGGCCCTCCCCGAGGGACAGAAACGTGGGGCTCCCACCAAGTCTCTGTTTTGAGCTCCATTAATCCACTTTCTTCTTCTCAGTCTCAGAATAAAAATGTGAATGGCTATTCGAGTTCGCAAGCCATGTCCAGCGTCTCCTGTCAATCACCGCGGTTCTCACCAGCACACGCAGAGCCACGCCGCGCCCGCCCGCCCCGCACACCCCACCCTCGGCGCTGGACCGTGGCTCTGCCAGGGCGCTAGGAGGCACAGATGCGATTGCGTACTCGTGTTTCACCGGATCCCATCTTGCGCCGGGCACCCCACGGCGCTGGCTGGGAGCGGAGGGCGAAGGCGCCTGCCCCCCCTCTGCCCCGCGTGGGGCTTTCTGGGCTCCAGCCCTGCTCGCCTGCAGCCTCTCCCTGCTCCCGGGGCTCAGGGAGCCGAGCAGCGTGGGGAAAGTGGTTAGAAAGTCTTAGTCGTCCTGGAAACGTGTTTATTTTCCTTTTTAAAAGGCTGGCTAATAACACGTAAGAACCAAATTTCTTCTCACAAGTGTGGGTGGGTGGAGGGAGGTTATTTTTAAACCAATGACTAACCGTGTTCATTGTTAGTGTTTTATAAAAAAAATAAAAAAACAGTTTAATACAAAGCATATTAAGCACTAAAAGGGGCCACGCTCTGGGTCTAACCCTGCAGTTGGCATCTTGGGGCCACCTGAGCTCCAAGGCTGTCACCTGCTGCGTCCTGGCTGCTGGATCTGAGAATCAGAGCCGTGACTCGTGCCCCAGAGCCGCCTCTCTTGGCCTCCTGGCAGGCCGCGGCACACCCCAAGGTGGTGCCTGCCCCCGCCACAGCAGGCCAGGCAAAAACAAATCAGCACACAAAACCCAGTACCAAAGAGCCCCTGCACGCACACTTTCCAAATGGACTTGATGCGCTTTCTGGACCACTTGTGGCCCCCAGACAACCCACTTACCATCTCCCTTCTGCCTTCGTCCTTCTCCTGAAGCTTCAGATGTGCTGACACCTGCAGGGGACAAGGACATCGGTGTGGAAGCAGAACGGATGGCCATCGGCAGGGTGAGCCTCACACCCCACGCCGAGGGCCGGAGCCCCAGCGGTTCCTGAGCTACGTGATGGCTACGAAAACCAAGGAGGTCTGGGCTTCCCACCCGCTTGGTTTAGTGAAGGGAGGGTTGTGGGAGAGCAGGAAGGTCTGGGATGCACCTGTCATCGCAGCCGAACCTGCTGGACCCACGAGAGCAGTTAGACGTGGGTGACTTGGAGGCACCAAGGGCTGACAGTCCTGCCAGGCCTGGGACCAGGTGCGTGTTTAGGATTCCACAAAACACCTGCTAAGCCACGGGCAGCTTGAAATCATGCACAGTGGGAGTACTTAACGCCCACAGAAATTGGCAAGTGCTACTGATAGGGACGCCGTTTTTGGTGTTGCCTTGTTTTATTTGTTCAGAGCCTGTTTGCCACCACGGCACTGGGCTCTGGCCCTGCCTGGGAAAGCCCCGAGTGGCAGTCATCGTGCCCACAGCCTCAGTCCTGCTTATCCACTGCTGTGGCCTCCGCATCTTCACAGGCACAATAATGAGACTGAGCCCTGTCCACCTCAGCGGCTAGTGGAGTTGCCGCCGGGATCAAATGACAGATAAGAGCAGGGACAGTGGCCAAGAGGACCCAGGCCCCGGGTGGGACAGGGCCAGCGGCCTGCCCTGCGACACTGACTGTCACTTCCCCGTCTGCCTGGTGGTCGCCAGGGCCAGAAGTGGCTGTGAAAATGCACAGATGTGTCTGACGTGGGATCAGGGCTCAGCCACGGGCGGCCAATTTCATTCCTGCACGGGAGAGAGGACCTGGACTGGCGCCAAGAACAACAGCCTTGGGTTGTTGTATTTCTCAAAGGCGTTGTGAAATTCTCAAGAGCCTCATTGAATTTAATGCTGAAATAGATGGATTTCACAGCAGGGTCCGGTGACAAGGTAAGCGTGGGTTACCCAAGGTGCAGGAGCGATTCCGAAATCCCCAGGTGTGCACAAAGCAGGCGTTTACGGCACCCACGGAGCAGTGAGCATCAGGGCAGAGGGAAACTTCACCGCGGCTGCTCCTCCCGCCTACCTGCCGACTCCCTGGGAGCCCCCGCGCCCCGTCTGAACGCCCACAGGGAAGCCGGATGGACAATCGGGGCTGCCCAGCGCACAGCCTCCGGGGAGGCCGGCCGGTGGAGAGCCGTCCCCTGACCCACAGAACACGCCGTACCAGAGAAGACGAGTGACAGCAGCCTGCAGCCCCCCCAGCTCTGTTTCTCCACAAAGCAGGTCAGGGAGCAGATCGCATCTGAAAACTAAACCGGCTTCTCTTTGCAGAGCTAAGAATGCCTTGGACTTGCCCTCATGTGGGACCCTGCACGGCTGCCGGAACAGGCCAGGACGTCCCCTAAGGTGGCAGGAGAGGCACGGAGGCCAGGGACCAGGAGAAAGCAGAGAAAGAAAGTGCTCCCCACACAAAGCGAGCCAGGATCTGTGACCGGGGCTGCACACCGATTTCCACATCTCCTTTTAACAGCCGGCATTCTAGCGGCCCCACAGTGAGGGTCGCCTGGCCTGGGTCACCGTGGGGTGGTCGGGCCTTTTTAAAAACAGCCCTGGAAGCCCAGAGTCAAGGCACGTGGCTGGGTGGGTCATAGTCTGTTCAAAGAGCACAACGGGCTGTTCTCGAAGGCCACCGTGCAGACACCACCTGGGCACCACTGCAGGCCCGAGAGGGGAAGGACTTGAGCATAGACACCATGGGAAGACTCGGTAGGAGGGAAAAGGCGCAGTGGCCAAGTTGCGATAGAGGAGAACTGACTGTAGCTAGGATTCCACCCCCACTGTCCCTGCGCTGTGTCACTTGACATTCAAACCAGCCCTGCATGGGCTTGCAGACGGGGAAACTGAGGCTTCGGAGGGAGGTAAACCCCTTGCATGGCAAGGATGTTGAGCAGGGAGTTAAAGGCGCCCCTTGTGCGTCAAACAGATCTCCAGCTTGTGACCTGGGCTCACTGCTTATCTCGTGGAGGCTGCGTGTCACAAGCACTTCCCTGAGATGACACATCTGGAGACTGTGTAGAGCTATGTGCCCGCAGGGCCCGGGACGCAGGAGGGCTCTGCCACCGCTGGTTTCATTCCCCCACCTGGCAGGCAGGTGTGTCAGAGGATGAGGCCTTCAGGCCCTGACCAAGGAAGGCACCAGGTGAGCTGGGACTTGGGCCAAAGACACAGAGTGACTCAAGGACGGCTGATGGGAAGAAAAGGCCCTTGGCCTGCAGGGGAATAGGACAGTGGCCACCCTGCAAAGGATCGCCCAAGTCAGTTGGGTCAATAGTCTCAGGCACTTGACGCCGACTTTGCCAGACAGGGACCATTAGAACTCAGACTCTGATGAAGCTGTCGACAGCGAGCCTGGCGTTAGAACTCTGCGGGAAGGAGGCACTGACCCGTGCAGGTGACGTGCCAGAGCCCCCAGGACACTGTGGGTGGGCACTCGGCCAGCACCCTGTCTCATGCGGGGCGGGGGGGACAGCCAGGTGGCCTGAGCACAGGCCGGGGCGGTGGGAGGACTCACCATCATGGCCTCCTGCACAGTGAGGTGCGGCAGCAGCATGTCGTCCTGCATGATGTAGCAGGACACCTTCCGGAAGCAGCGCAGGTCCCGGGGCAAGCCGTTGATGAGCACGGCCCCCTTCATGCCCGTCTCCCTGCAGAGACAAGGACAGGGCGAGTTGTCATCCCGGCTCTGCTGCTCCTCTGCCTCGGGGGTCTGGGGAGGGGTGAGGGCTTCCCTCCCCGAATCTTCCCAGCTGAACCAGTGGCCACAGGGACCCTCAGGGGCACACAGCAACCGGAAACCCAGGCAGCACCACTGCAATCTGGAGGAAGAAACTGCACAAAGTACCCAGCGGGGAGGAGGAAGCTGTAGATGGGGCCCCCGTGGTTGGCACGTTTATACCAAGTGTGACGGCTGCGCTTTCTTTACCTGCCAGACACAGATATACAGGCACGCCCTTTGCACAGCCTTGGGGTCGCTTGTGCACCCCTGGCGTTGCGGGAGTCCGTGAGATTGGCTTCTGCACGGGTCTGTGCACAGCCCGGGCTGCACCAGCTGCCCAAAGACCAGAGACGCCTGCGGTCGGGCCAGGGAAGGAACGCCAGCAGGACCTCGGGCTCGGGTGCTTCAGAGAGAAGGCGGCCGGGCCCTGGACTGGCTCAGACAAGTGGGTGGCCCTTCTCCACTGGGGAGGTCCTCTCTGACACAGTGGGCAGGTTGAGAGCCCCCGTGCCGAAGCCGTGCCCCTCTGCCGCCTGCTACGGTTCCTCAGTGGCACAGCCGAGGCAGTCCCCCTCGCCTGCTCCTGCCAGGGAGGGGTGAGGGGTGCAGGGCGGGCCATAAGGGGGTGGTCAAAAGAGGGTCGGGACCATTGAAAATAGAGAAAAGAGACCACAACAGCAAGGACTCGAGGCTGGGGACATTTCCCGACAGGGAGCGTGTGCAGAAGCTAGGAGCCTATGGCCAAAGATGATTTTTTTGTTGTTGTTTTTAATTTTTTAAAAACGTTTTTTATTTCAGCATGTTATGGGGGAAAGGTGACCTTTCTCTCGTTAACACACATTAACATGGTGAAGCTCACACTCCCAGCGGCGGGGAAGTTCTGAGCCAGCCACGGGCGGACGGAAAGGGGGCGGGCGCCGATTCTAGGGATCCCCCACCCCTTTCTCGGAGAAATCATGAACAGCCCACCCTCAGCTTAACATGGCATTAGGGAGCCGCCATAAAAGGGGAAATCTTGTTAAAGTCAGTGTCTTCTCTGCTCACGGAGACGCTCCTCCTTCCGGAGCCCGTCTTGCTTTAACCTTTAGATGTGAATGTAACAGGCAGCATTTGTCAGAAGTGAGCTTTGTCTAAACCCTAATTTCCAGCATTAAGGAGTGATCCAGAAGCTCTAAGGAAAAGGATGTTTATCTTTTTTTTTTTCCGTATATGAAATTATTATTATTACTGTTTGCTAACATTAAAACTGAAAAGAAAATGGAAAAAAACTGGCTTTAACAGAGCATTTTTAAAAAATATTTCTAAGGATTCTGTTTTCTTTCTTTCTTTCTTTTTTTTTTTTTTTTTGAGACAGAGTCTCGCTTTGTTGCCCAGGCTAGAGTGAGTGCCGTGGCGTCAGCCTCGCTCACAGCAACCTCAAACTCCTGGGCTTAAGCAATCCTTCTGCCTCAGCCTCCCGAGTAGCTGGGACTACAGGCATGCGCCACCATGCCCGGCTAATTTTTGCTATATATATATTAGTTGGCCAATTAATTCCTTTCTATTTATAGTAGAGACAGGGTCTCGCTCTTGCTCAGGCTGGTTTCGAACTCCTGACTTCGAGAAATCCTCCCGCCTCGGCCTCCCAGAGAGCTAGGATGACAGGCGTGAGCCACCGCGCCCGGCCAGGACTCTGTTTTCATTCACAGACGAATGAAGTCAAGGATTGTGTTGTCCAAACTTCGGAGCCATCAACGTCATGGCGAGCCCCAGCCAAGCAGCTCTCATTCCCTTCTGAAAATGCCTCGCCCCACTTTGCGACTCCATGTCCACTTGTCCCCCAGAGTCCCCTGCTGTCTCTCCACCTGACCGCGACCTTCCTACCTCTTCCCGTCCCGGAGGGGCAAAGGCGGAGACCCTGCCCGCGGCCGCCAGCAGGTGTAGCCTCTCGACGTCACTCTCTTCCCCTGGGCCCTGTCTCCTTTACAGACTCCAAAGCCTCTCGGTGCTAAGATGCACGCGTGTTTCGTGGGAGCCTGTGTGTCCTTCCGAGGCTACCGCCATGGCCCGTGGGATGCCGCTCACACGGTCAGCCGAGCCCCGGCGAGAACTCCGCCCCCACGCAGGGCTGCTCACCTGTACCCGGCCAGGATGTTCATGAGCGTGGACTTCCCAGCCCCGGAGGGCCCCATGATGGCCACCAGCTCGCCACTGCTGAATTTCCCGGAGATTCCTTTCAGAAGGGTCTTGTATCCTGCAAAAAAGCAGATCGTGTTCATGTTCTCACCGTCACGGGATTCGTTCCGTTTTGCCCCAGCATAGTAGATATGCAAACGCTCAAGTATGCCTGATTACAGAACCAAGGCCAAGGGCAACTGTTGTCACGCCAGGGGGTAAAACACTGAGCAAGAAAACAAACGCTGTGTCTTAATTCCCTACCAAGAATAGTTTACTTCCTCAATTGCACTTTGCAGGTTATAATAGTGACAATTACCAGTGAGTGTATAATGTGTTGGAGCTTACAGAGCACGCTCCCATTCATTGCCTCGTCTGCAGAGGCCCCGCCCCTCCCCTTGCAGGACGAGGAGATGCTGTCCGGTGGCCCGGTGACTCCCCGGCCCTGCAGCCGGCGTGGGCAGATCCTAACCCAGGCTGCACCACTGCCCGGGCTGCTCCACCCATGCCTGTGTTAATTAAATGATGCACTTATTTCACCTACCAATTATTTATTTATACTTCATGTGTTTATATAAGTATATATATTATTTATATACAATTTATTTATAAATATTCACTTTATAATTAATCAATACATTATTAATTCCTTAATTAATAATTAAAAGAGATTACCATTTTGCAGTCACATCAAATTGCTTTAGAATTTCTGCCAAGTCTCCATCTGAGAGCTTTATAAAAGGGAAAAACCTACACAACCCAAGCAAAGCCACATCAGATTTTTTTTTTCAAGCAGACTCTTTAAATGTGCTATAAAAAATAAAATAGAAGCAACCGGATAGACAGATAATGACTCCCAATTCAGGGACATCTCTCAGGCTAGCATCAGGTCAGAACGCACTGTAAGTGATCGGGAATCTGTAAGTGCATTGTTGGCGACCACATAGGATGCCCTAACGAGACAGAACCCGTGGGGTGCTTGGCCCGTCCCTGGCTTTAGACTCCCCCCAGTCTCTGCTGGGAGCCCGAACCTGCCCGTCTGCAGGAGCCTGCCGGGGGAGCGTTCTCCCTGCTGTCTTCCTGACTTCCAGAGACGGGACGCCTGCACACCACAGCCTGTCAGCAGGGGCCGACTTAATTTGGACGGGGAGTCCCCAGGGCCTTGTTTAAGAGAGGCAGGGAGCAGCGGAAGCCAGTCAGGAAGCTGGCGGCCCTGAGATTCTGACTCATTACGGAGAGGAGGGCGGCTGTCGCCCCAGGGAGGGCCAGGAGAGCCATCCCGGAGGGAAAAGGGGCCCAGGAACCAAGGGATGGGGGCAGGAAGAGCGGCTCAGAGCTGCGAACAAGTCCAGCCCCTGCGGCAGGATGCGGGTGAAGACACACAGCATGGGAGACCCGAAAGAGTCGCGTGGGGGGGCACGGGGAACCCCCAAACAGCCATCTTGCCCAGCCATGGCTGCCCCTCCGTGGACAGATGGACAGAGGAGCTGGGGACAACAGAGACCTTCCTCCACAAGGACAAGCTCGGAGCATGATGGAGCACTGTGGCCTGGGGCCAGGTGCTTTGGGGACCGGTCCCCCGGGGGTCCCCTATGACATCACCGAGGGAGCACTGCTCATTGCCACCTCCTGTCTGTTCGGGTTGGAGTCGGGGTAACCCCTGAGCAAGCCTTCCCTTACGCTACTCCCTCTCAAAGTGCTGAGCTGACCCCAGCTGGGCCCCGTGACCCTGAGGCTGCCTAGGACCTGAGGTCACAGAGCTGACCCCCGGCTGTTTAGAGCCCAGGCGTAGTCTGCACAGGGTCATGACCTGCCCGTGGCTCTGAGAAGGCCTTTCCCATAGCCCCGGGGCACGGGGCAGCACCCCACTCCCTGCCGTGACAGTGCCTGGGGCTGGCCCTCGGCGGCAGTGGGTCCATGCTGGGCACCAGATGGCAACAGCGGCCAAGGAAGCTCACACGGGCTGCGTCTGCCCTGGCCAGGACCCCCGGAAGAGGACAACAGGGAGGCTGGGGGCATTCGGCCCTGTCACGGGAAAGCCAGGGCAGGCGGGATCCAGAGGTCTGACCCCCAGCGCTAAGCCCGAAGACCATCTGCAAGTTACACAGCCCGGAGACGACAAGGACCGCTCTCGCCTTGGGGAGGGACGTTGGCTCCCAGGCCACCAGGGCGTGGATGTGATTGAAGCTGCAAAGGGTTCTCGCCACGTGGCCCTCTCGGGGCCCAGCGGGGGACAGGAGACCCAACTCGGGGCTGCCTTTCTCTAATATTAGAAAACTGTTTCTATTTAAACATAAAAGAAAGAGATGCATTCGGGGATGCATTTGAAGAATCTTAAAAGTGTCACATTTAAGAAAGAATGTGGCGTAAACACCAGTCTGCCCTGCTCCGAGTCGGCCGGGTCTGCAAGGGCGAGCCCGTGCGTGTCTGGAAGCGGGTCCCAGCGTGGAGCTGGGGCCGGAGACACCGGCCAGACGCTTCCCGCTGTAGCCTCTGTCTCTGCCATGTCGGTAAAGGCCTCAGCACCATTCCCAATTAAGTGGGGCGGGAAGGGTTTCCCGAGTTACGCCCGCAGCGAGAGCTACTTCCAGAAGGTCGGGATCAGAGGGCCCCTGTGCGGAGTCCCGGACTGCAGTGGCGGGAGCTCGGGGAGGCCGCACTCAGCCCAGACCGAGTCTCCCGATGGCCGACCGGCCGACCCCACCCAGCGCCTGCGATGGGCCCGGGACCTGACCGCTGCCCTGACACACGCCTTATGTTGCTTCCCGCTCTATTAGGGCCCCCAGAGGCCCCGACAACGTCAGCCCCACGAGGACGCAACGGGCACTGACCTCCCGGTCGCCACGTCCCTGCGCTGGAGCCGCTGAGCGGAAGGCGGCTCCCGGCACAGGCGAGCCCAGAGCACGCCGTGTAAACCCTTGGACAAGGGCGAATAAACGTGCGCGTGGCCTTCGTTTCAGAGTCATTATGTTTTGATGCAGAGTTTACTGAGCCCCAGGTCAAGAAGCCCGAAGTGACCCCAAGAGCCCCAGGCTCCTCCCGCCACTCCGATGGTGATTGCTTTCGAATCTTAAGTAGAATTCGGAGGCGGAGTGTTGATTTTTAAACAGAAGGATACTTATTTTTCCCCAAAAAACAAAGAAAAAAAAGACGGTTTCCTCCCCTGGAAATCAAGACAACCGTCCTTTGCCCACAGACAGATCAAGGAACACTCCCTGGCTGGGAAATTGCCCCCAGCGATCCTGGGATCCACAAAACACCCTCAAATGAAAAAAACACACACAAAAGGATTCTTGCAGGGTGTGGGAAGGTCCTCTGTCCTTCAGGGAGGACTCCAGCCCTGTGGATACTAGGGACCCCGTGCAGCGTCTGCTGGGAATTCCCATCCTCTAGCCAAACGGATGCCCCCATAGCTGCCTGTGACAAAAAGCCCTCCTGCCACCTGCCACGGCCGCCCGACAACAAAGGGAACTGAGCCCCTTGGGGACAGTTAGACACCCCCCCATACTGGTCACCTGCGGAAAATAATAAGCGACTCTCGTGCTCAGGTTTCCTCTAACAGGCTGCGGGGTGGAGAGGCCGGGGTCCCCCCACCAGCCCTGCTCCAGGCCGCGCCGACAAAGGCGCGTTGTCTGGCTGTGCCGGCCGGCCAGGTGGAGTGGGCGCCCGCAGAGAAGCAGGCCTTGTTCTGTGGCTGCCCAAAGCTCAAATGCCAAGCTGATAGCGCAGTGCTCTGCCCTCTGGGAGCTAAGTGTGCCAGGGACACGGCCGAGGGGTCAACAGCAGGGACAGCACGTCGCCCGTGTTCACAGAGCACTTCTGGGGGGGGTGGGGCCCAGAGTGTCTCGCCGTCTTTGTTGGTTCGCTCACCCGGCAGTCCGCCGGGGCGGCCGGGCCAGACAGACATTCCTCCTCCCACCGATGGTGGCTCGGTGCAGACGGGGAGTCCCGGATATGCAGAGGGAAGCTCAGGGCTTCAGTAGGAGAGAGCGGGAGAGGAGCACCCGCGATCCCACACACCCCTCTGCCTGCTGGGGTGACTCCCAGAGCAGTCCCCGGTCCTGCCCTGTCATTTTCCCAGCGGGGGCATCCTCCCACACCGGAGACCGCCATGCACAGACTGACCTCCCGCCAGCCCACCCCAGCACTCCACATCCACGAGGTCGATGTTCCAACTGCAAACACCAAAACCCCGCCGTCACTGGCCGGGCACAGTGGGATGCCTGAACCCCCTCACAAATGCCTCTCTGTTTAGCAAGCATCGGCCTCAGCAAGCTGCCCGGGGGAGGGGGGAGGGGGGCCCTCCCTGTCCCTGCGCTGGAATGAGAGAGGGGCGGGAGGGAGGGACGCAGCTGCAGGGAAGAGTCAAGCTCACGTCCCCCGGAGTGGGGCTCCCTTTCCGGGTCTGTCTTCGGGTTCTGGGAAGCGATGGCTGTCTCAGGCAGATGCCCGGTGGGGCTGAGCACTCAGTCCCGCTTCCCCTCGCCATCGCTAGGTGGTGTGGCCCGGGTGTGACCAACAACCCTGCCTCTTCCTGGCTCTGAAGGCAGAGGAGGAGGTCACCAGCCAGGGACACAGGTGACCTCTGGAAGCTGGAGGAGGGGAGAAGACAGATTCTTCCCTGAAGCCCTGGGAGAATCACAGCTCACACCTGGATTCCGGGCTCTGGTCGCCAGAACGCTAAACCTCAACCCGAATTGCAGAAAGAGAGAGGAGCTCTGCAAATAAACAACAGGCATCTGGGAGTGAGCGCCGCAGGGGGCCACGGTGGGCGGATCCAGGGAGCTAAAGACAGACGAAGGTTCTAAGCACCATCAGAAGGTTCCCACAATGTTCTAAGATGGTTGCCGTGGCCACAGGATGGACACGGGTGGTGTCAGTCCACGGGCGGACAGGCAGTTGCTGGGCACACGTCCTCGCAGAAGTGGATTTTATGTGAGCACACTCGCAGCGCCTGCGCAGGGCTGTGGTTTGGCTGTCTTCTGCGACAGTCCCTACTCTTGGGAGTATGTGTGCGAGCACCTCCCTTCGTGGTCCTCTCCGGCTCCATCTGCCGGGGCTTGGCCTGGCCCCCTTCAT